CTTTTGGCCCATATTTTCTCCAAAATTGCAGTTTTGACCCCATACTTTTCCAATTCTTCAATTTGTACCTAAAATACAATAAATCAACTTTTTAAGCACCAATTATCATTAAAACACACCAAAAGCTCAAATAAAAAGATACGATAAAGTGTAAAAATATACACTTAACAATTATGCAATAGAACTTGAAGCCGGGTAGATTCAAAGAATCTATCGCCGGAAGGCCCCCAGGCAACCTAGAGGAGTTGCTGAATCGAGCCGAAAAATACGTCCGGATAGAGGAAGCCTCTACCCATGCTCCTCCTAAAAGGAAAAGGGAAGATGACCGTCAGGACAATAGGAGGCGGGACGATCGACGTCCACCACTCCCACCTCAAAGTCAACCATCTTCCTCCTACAATAGGTTCACTCCGCTAAACACTCGCCTCACTGAAATCCTTCACGTGATAGAGCAAAAAGGTTTAGCAGAGCCTCCACGTCCTATGCAGCCAAATGCAAAGCGAGAAAAGTCGAATCGCTACTGTCGATTCCATAAGGATAGAGGACACACTACGGAGGAATGTGCACAACTCAAAATGGCGATTGAGAGGCTGGTCAAGCAAGGCCACTTAGGCGAATACATTGATAAGTCTCGAAATAAGCGCCGTGATGATCTCCCACGCCGAGATAACAATCGAGATCAACAACAACGACGAGAGGAGGGGGGTCATCGACGAGACCCAGATAACAATGATAACCAACCTACCCGGGGCATCATCTCCTTTATCTCCGGAGGACCGGCAGGTGGCGATTCACAAAATGCAAGACGCACCCTCGCTCGATCAGCACGTATGAATCAAGAACGTGCTTCTCCATCCGCACGTATCTATCAAATACGAAGACCTGATCATAGCATAGTCTTCAACTCCTCTGACCTTGAAGGCCCAGAGGAAGATCATGCCGATGCATTGGTGGTAACAACAACGGTGGCCAACTTCTTGGTTAAGAAGATATTAGTGGACGGTGGGAGCTCAGCTGACATAATGTACCTCCACGCTTTCAAGCAACTGGGCATATATAATGCCCGGTTTAGTCCCATCTCCACGCCCCTGAAAGGATTCACAGGAGAAGGCATTTTGTCCATGGGAGAAGTGGAGCTGTCCGTCTCGTTAGGGGAAGACCCTTGTCGAATCACCAAGCTAATCAAATTCCTCGTCATCGACAAGCCATCCCCCTACAACATCATCCTAGGGAGGCCAGCAATCCATATATTCAAATCAGTACCGTCCTCCTACCATCTGAAGTGGAAATTCCCTACTCCTTACGGAATGGGGGAAGTACTTGGAGATAGACGTCTCGCCCGATAGTGCTATGCAAGGGCCCTACGAGAACCTTCCAAGAAGCCTAAACCGTCCGGAAGGGGAGACGACACCGAAAAATCTGACAAACGGAAGTGGGTCAACGCGATCATTGAGGATAATAAAGAAATCCTTATCAGTGTACCAGATGACAGCATCAAGCTAGCAGCTGTCGAAGAGCTTAAGCTCATAGAGCTCACTCCCGGAGATACTTCCAAGCTCATACGAATAGGATCCGATCTAGATCCAACCACGGAGCGACAACTAATCAACTTCATGCGGCACAATGGAGATGTATTCGCATGGAAAGCCCAAGATTTGTCGAGCATTCCTAATCAACTTCCTGCGGCACAATGGAGATGTATTCGCATGGAAAGCCCAAGATTTGTCGGGCATTCCTCCTCAGGTAGCTCTACATCGGCTCAACTTCGACAAAAGGTTGAAGCCACTCAAACAAAGGAAACGGACATTTGGTCCCGAACGCAACAAGCATATCAAAGCGGAAGTGGCGAAACTCCTTGAAGCAAGCCACATACGACCAGTTCAGTATCCTGAATGGCTGTCGAACGTAGTACTCGTTCCCAAGCCGGTTGGCAAGTGGAGATTATGCGTAGACTTCACTGACCTCAACAAAGCTTGTCCTAAGGACCCATTTCCTCTACCCAGAATCGATCAACTCATCGATTCGACCTCGGGGTGCGAGCTCCTCAGCTTCCTCGATGCATACCAAGGGTATAACCAGATCTTACTTGCGCCAGAAGATCAAGAGAGGGCTAGTTTCATCACTGACCAAGGCATCTACTGTTGGGAATCGGACACGTGTACGGAGCGGAAAACAAAAATTTTATGCGATTTAAACAACTTTAAAGCACATAAACACATGCCCGATAAATTAAATCAATTAATTGCGTACCTTTGCGCTTCCAGCGAAATTAAAAATTACATACATGCTTAATTATTTAAACAAATTTAAATCAATTAACATGCTCGCGTTTAAATCAAATAACATGCTCGAACATACAAACCAATTTCATGTAATCACATAAAATCATACAAGAATGAACATACATATTAGATTTAAACGTAAACGAATCAAGAACAATGAATCGTGAGTTTACCTCTTGAAGCGTGAGGTAGGAGCGCTAAGCAAGTCGAGATTTCTACGGAAACCAATCCGTACAATCCGGGGCAGCAGCGGTGCAGCGGCAGCAGCGGCGAGACGGCCACGGCGGCGCGTGTAACTCACGCGCGGTCTTCGGGCGGCGCGTGGGATTGCGTGCGGCTTCGGCTCGTGTGCTGCTCCCCGATTCTTCGATCTTCGATCTTCCTCCTCTCGGATTTCTCCTCGTATACTTCGATCTACTAAACACGTGGCACTAGACACGTAATAGTTAGAAAAACGGAAGAAAAAGAGAAGGAAAGAACTACCGAAAGCAATCATCCAACGAATGGCCGATTCCGGCGAAACGGCGGTGGTGGCCGCAGGAGAGAGTGGCCGAGAGAGAGAGTGGGACGGCTAGGGTTAGGGTTAGGTCTTGTGTTTTTGTGCAAGGCCTATAAATCAAGTATTTATAGTGCCTTGCATAAAACCCTAACGGGCTTAAGTTGGACCGGGCCTAACAGCTTAAGTTCGTTAGTTCTTTTACTTGCTCATCTCTCTCAATTCAATGATCGGAAAATTGCAACCATTACATTTTCGGAATCATTATAATATCCTCATCATTACGAGTGCCAATTCTCAATTTCCAACTTTCCAAAAGTGGAAACCCTAATTCAATGCACTTTCTAAATTTGGAAACTTCCCGATTTAGAAAGTCCACTAATACGTTTGCCAATTCTTTTCCTTTTCTTGTTCTCATTCATAATTCCAAATTACAAATGTTGGACCTAATCACATTGACTTCCAATCATGCAAAGATAAACTATTTTATCTCTGACCGTTTATTCAAAGATCTCATGTGCACGAGCAGTGTGACCCTCGATGGTTCAGGTGTAAGCTAGCCGTGGGCCCACAACGCTTTGTGGTCAAAACTCATCCCTTAGAGTTACGATTAAGATGAAGCTCGTTTCACCTTAATCACCCAACGAATCAAGATTGGCGTCTAGCAACTACGCGTCATGATTCCCTAGATACAAATGAAGTGCCTGCAAGAACCTTCAGATATAGTTAACGTACAGTACGGTCCCTTCGATACATATGTCCCGATTGAACTAGAGGCATTGGTTCGTCGAGACCCCTTTATATGTTCAATGACGGTGCGATCGTTCTAAGTGTTGTAATCGTTACGTGCATGACTTAGAGAATCGAATTCTCTAATCATCACTTAGTCAGCTCTGGCCAGAGACTTAGTTTGATTACAAACTTTCAGAACACACAGGACATCCAAGACTATTCTAGCGATCGAATCCCCGACTACAATGCACAGACCTCCCACAAGATTTCGGACTGCACGAACACTGGCCCTTGGGATGGTCCTCGGTGGAACTCAGGGACAGGTCACGATACAGCTGGTCCTCTAGTGAAGTCACGGTGATGTCTAGGTCATAAGGACTAATGGTGTACAACTATACCATAAATATCTCTACTCGATTATTGGGAACCACTTAGAGATTTCTAGGATGAGGGAGTTCAGTGAACTCGTCAACTTACGAGCACCCACTTATGCATGCCGATATCACAATACCGTTTACTGATGAGATGCAGTACACATACACTAAGTGCTAGTCTCTTAATGGGAAAAGCCGATATCCTCATTAGTGGCGTAACCCTTCGACTAGGAACATGTTTAGTTATAATACTAAAGTAAATATCTCACGATCCTAACGATCATTTACTCGTACTTGTAATAACTGTAAGGACTATATTTATGCTTGTGACAAAGGGACAAAGATATAGAATGCCAAGTTGTTTTATCATTAATACGAATAAAGGTTTGTTTATTACAATAATAAATACGAAAAACCACAGCCACATGTTGGCTTGTTGGTCACCTACTCTAACATCTACTGCTATCAAGTCATGCCCTTCGGGTTAAAAAACGCAGGAGCCACCTACCAACGTCTAGTGAACACAATGTTCGCAGTTCAGATCGGTAAAAATATGGAGGTATACATCGACGACATGCTCGTCAAAAGTGTCAAGGTATCAGACCACTTAACCGATTTAGATCAGTGTTTCACCACCTTACGAAGATATAAGATGAAACTCAACCCCCTCAAATGTTCGTTCGGAGTTCGGGGAGGTAAATTTTTGGGATCTCACAGCGGGGAATCGAAGCTAATCCTGCTAAAATCGAAGCAATCACCTCAATGGCTCCACTAACCTCTATCAAGAAAGTCCAACAGCTTAATGGATGTTTGGCATCTGTGAATAGATTCATTTCTAGGTCAGCGGACAAGGCTCTCCCCTTCTTCAAGATTTTAAGGGGAGGAAAAAAGTTCGAGTGGGATGAGGCATGTCAAAAAGCCTTCACTGAGCTAAAGTCATATCTCGCATCACCACCCTTGCTCACAAAACCTTAGCCCGGAGACACCCTTCTACTGTACTTAGCTACCTGATCTGATGCCGTCAGCGCAGTCCTCATTCGAGATGGAGGAAAAGGCCACCAACCCATATATTACATAAGTCGCACCCTCCAAGGAGCCGAGCAACGCTATACCAACATGGAGAAACTCGCTCTCGCCCTCATCAACGCAGCTCGGAAGCTTCGACCTTACTTCCAGTCACATCAAGTAGTGGTTCTCACCAATTATCCTCTGAAGCAGATATTAAGGAGTCCCGAGACATCCAGGCGATTAGCAAAATGGGCGATAGAGCTAAGTGAATATGGAGTCGAATTCAAACCCCGCCCCGCTATCAAAGCGCAAATATTGGCTGATTTTCTAGTCGAAAGGACCTCAGTAGAAGAAAGCACCTCTCTGCCTACTTGGTCTGTCAGCGTCGATGGATCTTCCACTGCCACATGAGGTGGAGCGGGTATCGTCCTAACGAACCCAGGCGGAGACGAGTTCGAATATGCTCAACGATTCGAATCCATAGCCTCAAACAACGTCGCTGAGTACGAAGCACTGATAGCAGGAATCCGCCTCGCCCTAGCAGCCGGAGCACGCAAGCTCCTAATCCAAAGCGACTCTCAGATCGTCGTTAACCAAGTACTCGGAGTTTACGAGGCCAAAGAAGACACCATGGCCAAATACTTAGCTCTCACACATACTCTATTATCCAAGTTCGAGAGCTACGAAATTAAACAAGTGCCCCGCTCCAATAACGTCCACGCTGACAAATTAGCTAGGCTTGGAAGTTCCATGGCTAGCATCGGAAGTCAGAAGGTGACGCTCCTCACCTCACCTCAGCCGGAGATAACTTCACCCACTGAAATACAGTACACCAAGGAGGATGAACCATGCTGGTTCACTCCAATCCTGAAGTATCTCAAGAAGGGAGAACTTCCAATGGATCCCACTGAAGCACGAAAGTTAAAAACGAGAGCCGTTCGCTTCGTCATAGTGGGAGAAGAATTGTACAAACGAGGGTTCTCATTCCCCTATCTCAAGTGCCTCGACCCGACCACAGCGGATTACGTACTTAGAGAAGTACACGAAGGCATCTGCGGCAATCACTTGAGCGGGAGAACCTTAGCTCTCAAACTACTGAGGCAAGGCTACTATTGGCCAACGATGCATGAAGACGCGAAGAAATTAGTCCGGAAGTGTAGGCCCTGCCAAGAGCATGCCAATATCCCTCACCTACCAGCGGCATTAATGCAACCAATTGACAGCCCCATCCCTTTCACCCAATGGGGAATGGATTTAGTGTGACCATTCCCGCCCGCCACATGAGGTCGCAAATACCTCATTGTAGCAGTGGACTACTTCACCAAATGGGTGGAGGCTGAACCCTTAGCACGCATCCGAGAAGAAGAAGTCATCCAATTCATGTGGAAGAACATCATATGTCGCTTTGGAATCCCACGTTCCATTATCTCAGAGAACGGAACCCAATTTTGTGGCGACAAAGTAAAGAATTGGTGCCTCGGCTTGGACATCAAACAGTTCTTCACATCCGTAGCCAATCCACAGGCTAACGGCCAGACGGAGGTCACGAATCGCACCATACTCCAACACCTTAAAACAAGGCTGGGAAGTGCCAAATGGAAGTAGGTGGAAGAATTGCCTAACGCACTATGGGCTTATCGCACAACCCCACGAGCAGCAACCGGAGAGTCGCCCTTCAATCTAGCTTTCGGAACAGAGGTTATCGCACCCGTCGAAATCGGAGAACCATCTTGGCGAATCACCAACTATGATCCAGCAGCTAATGAAGAAGCTATGCGGGGAAGCCTCGACCTCGTAGATGAGCTACGTGAGATTGCATACATCCGACAACAGATGTATAAATCACGCATGGCCAAAGCCTATAACTCAAAGGTCCGTCCTCGCTCCTTTCAAGTTGGAGATTTAGTCCTCCGAAAAGACGAAGCCTCTCATCCCATTGGTAAGCTCGATCCAAAGTGGGAAGGACCATATAAAGTCACAAAAGTGGTCAACACTGGAGCATATCGCCTAGAGAACATTGACGGCCACCCTATACCCAGAACATGGAATATAGGGAACCTCAAACGGTTCTACGCTTAAGGTATATATCTACCTTAATTAAGATCCGTTGAAGTCACCACCTATACCCTTCCAATATGAAAATTACTTACAAATCATTACACATGCAGGCTCCGCAACCTTCCACGTCACTCGTCTCGCAAAACTGTCTCTACATGCTTGGAAACTTTCTAATACATAACGAGGTGCGTAAACGCCTCACCTAAACTGGGGTGCTAGTAATTTTACTTACATCAGCAATCCATCATCACATCTCATCATCTTCTTACAGATTGAAAACCAGTTACGAGAGGATGCATATTACTCAATCAATGGCCCAAAGAGCGAAGACCCTCCATACCACATCGCTAAGGGTAACAATAATTCCACTAGAATATAACACACGCATGCTCTTGTTTGCTCTTACTAACGAGAAAAAATAATTCCAATAACAGGCATCATCACATAGAAGCTCACAACAACTCACAAATTGATTTCATATCTCCGAATGCGAGGAAGAAAAACAATCCCCGTAGTAGGGTACGTGAAATCATAGTGCACATCACCCCAGCTATAATTACTAAGTCTTCAGTACAAGTGTTTAAACAAATCTCTTCTTCTCTACTATACTTTGCAGGCATAGAGACGTCAAAGGAATTCAATACACCATAGGCACAGCAAAACGAACGAGTACATGGAAGACGTGGAAGGAGAACAAGTGTAGTACAAGCACTTAGAAGAATGTTTACCGACTCAATTTCTTTGATTTAGTAGTAGTTATTTACCACCGCCTCACGTAGGCCTAATACATTAGCAAGTTATTTCCATCCGCCTTATATAGGCTTGTAACATCGCACATCCGCTATCATTAAATAAATCAATTTTTTTTATTTTTGCTTCACTCTCTGTGCTACTTAATCGATACAAGTTACCTCTTACTATGAGTACAGTTCAATACAACCCTATAAACACTTAAAGCGACTTGGATAATCCATATAGCCTGGCCAGCTGGATTGTCTAAGTCCCTTTACTTGGTTAACGAGGTATTACTTTTAAAGCGTGGCCACGGACAAATATATTTAAGACCCAAGCGGTCCAAACAGTGGGCACGACCCTTAACAAAAAACCTTGGGAGATTGATCCACTCCTCAAGTACATCGGGTACAACGCTAAATGTTAATACACATAAGCAACACAAAAAACCCGTGACAATGTCAAAATAAATAACTAAATATCAAACTTCAAATTTCAAACAAGGAAGAAATTCAAACGAAATAGTAGTGGACATACCCATCTACATCAGCGATAAAAACAAACTAAGAAATCCATAGCAAAAAAAAAAAAAAAAAAAAAAAAGGAGTTTCACTATCCTAGCAAATAAATCTAAACCCCCCCACCACGGGAGGAAGACGCCCCCACAGTGGGATCATCGGCAACCATGTCATCCACGAGCTTTGTGCCCGTCTCGTTGACATCTACTTCATCCTCTTCTTCATCGGAAATGCCGGCTTCCATCCCACGAATAACCTTCTCACTGATACCACCCGCCTCGCGAAGGTATTTGCGGCAGGCACGAACTAATGGTTTATAGACCACAGCCAAAGCATGCTCCTTAATCATAGTAGCACACTCAGCACTACCTCGGAAGCTAAGCTTGGTCTCCTCCACGATGGACGCCTTATAAGCAGCACCACCTGACGTCGCGAGGAACCTCTTCCCCGTCGCCTTCTCAACTTCATATTTCTCTTTGAGCTGGTCATAGCACTCGTTCAACTTCTGAACATCATCCTTATTCGCCTTCGCCTCACCTCGGAAAACCTCGAGCTCCTCTGTCCTCTGAGCAAGCTCATATGTCCTCTCAGCAAGCTCTTTTGTCCGATGAGCAAAATCAGACCGCGCTTCGTCCAACTGGCTACGAAGATCGTCCTCCCACATCAGAACAGCAGAGGGAGTTAACTGACTATACCCTATCTTGAATTCCCCGCAAATCTTCAACAAGGTCAGATGCGGAGTAATCTGAGATGTACACGTCACATACGCCAAGAAAACCGTATGAAACCCATCGGGTGGCGAATACAACCGGTCGCCCTTCTGATGCAACAACAACTCGATATTTCTAGGCGCTCCAACTAGACGACGAATAGACTGCAAATGCTCTTCCGTCAGTTTACTATCAAAATTAACTAAGTCCAAATTAATTGACTTAAGTTTCTTTTGCCTCCTAGTATCAATCTCAACATCACCCGGCGGAATATCATCTTCCTCCTCCTCTTCGACCATCGGCTCAACTTCACTACTCGCCACCGCATGCTCACTTGCCGAATGCGAGTGAGTAGACTCATCGCTATCACTCCCAAAATCCACAACTTTATGCCTGTTACGACGTCTACTGGAACCCACTTCATCAACAGTGGAGCAAAAATTAACATTACCATTCGTTTCTACATCGTCACTCCAAGATTCAATAATTTCTCGTCGCCCAAAACTCCCCTCACTCACACCATCTTCGACATCGATGCGCTCCTCGCTTCGCACCACCCTATCACGTGAATCGCGTCGAAAAAATGGCCCAGACGCGCTCACACGCGCGCCCGGCACTTCGGGCGACGCGCTGCCACGCGCGCGGTACCTCTCCACTAACGCGCGCCCACGCGCAGGACCCCCAGCCACTCCACACGCGCGCGCGTCGTCCTCGGCCTCCGCGCCAGACGCGCGCGCGCGTCGCCCCAGCACTTCTCCACCAACGCGCGCCTCGGATCTGCCAAGTGGATGATTGACGCGCGCGCGTGCAGCCACCTCATCAGCTGACGCGCGCGCCCCTCCCTCTTCTCCCCCCTTTGACGCGCGCGCGCGTGCCTCGTAAAGTGCGCTTGACGCGCGCGTCATCTCAGCATCACCTTCCTCTCTCCTTTCCTCGGAAAACGTGCACGGCTCCAACTCCTTGGCTCGGCTCGGCTCCGCTGCACCCTCGAAGCGCGCGCCCTCTCCCATAACAATACATGGGGGTACACGGCTCAAGCCATTCCCCTCAGCCAAGCCACGATTAACCCTATTTCTCCCCTCAATCCGTGCACCGCCTACCGTAGATCCGAATTTTGCACCCGGTATTACAAGCTTCTCGCGTTCTATGCCCACGGAACCAAAAGTTTTATCGCCCCCTTCAACCGGATCTCGAAGTTTAATTCGTAAAGATTTTGATTTACCCGGATTCAACATGACAAATAATTTCTCCGAACAAACAATCAAGAAACAACAAATTTCTACTCTACGGCTATAGAATAAAAGAAGATAGCACAGAAGAAGACCTAAAGTTAAAAATACATACCCATATTTATTACGCAGAAGTTGGAGTTCAATTCTTTCCACCGCAAAAAAAAATCTATTTATCTGGCCTTGGTATATTATTTAAAACCCTTAAATATATATACCTCGCTGCCAAATAAATATAATTATCCCTTATTTAAATTGAGGAGAACAATTCAACGCCAACGGAAACTATTCAAGCCACGACACAATAAACTCTCGACACGAGCCGGATTCCCCTAAACATGTCTCCCATCTCGACTCGAGAGTTGGGGGGCTTAATGATATACCTAATTGGGCCAACCCAATGGGCCCCCTAATTTGTCTAATAATTAGGCCCAATACACGAAAGTCCAATCACCTACAATTGGGCCCACTACACGAAAGCCCAAGCACCTTCAAAGTAAGGCTTGGGCCCAACAAAGTAAGCCCAACCAAATCAACGATATATAAATAGATGTTTTACTCATTTGTTAAGGTACGTTCTATTGATTCACAATTAAGCTAGAGTATTATTCTCTCTACCATATCCACTATCCGTATATCTGACTTGAGCGTCGGAGGGGTTTCCGCCGGATCAACCCCCGGCTTAGTTCACGTGCGCTCATTCCACAGGGACCTCAGGATCATTAAGTTGACAAGCTACTGATCCGCTTTGCTCTCCCAGCTCGTTTTCTACAATACCCCAGGTGATTTACATTTTAGCATCATCAATATATATATATATATATATATATATATATATATATATTGAACAAAAAGTATAAAATAATAAGTATTCAATGAATTAAAACAATATGAGGAAAGAGAATATGGACTATTTGGTTTTTTTCCTTACAATCCATTATAATTAAAAGAAATGCAAATAAAATGGTTATATTTACGAGGATATACCAAAATTAAAATCACAAGAACCAAACAAGATGTTATATAATTCTCAGTACATTTCTACCATCGAAATAACCAAAAGCGGCCAAAAAAGGTCTCCGGTTTGACTCGCAACCACTTGGGGGCGTGTCCAAGTAAAAATCCACCACACTTAACATTAAAAATTTGGGTTCCCTGATAGACCTGACCATAATATGGCTGATCCAGTTCCGGAACAGGGGTCAACGCGACGGGTCTAGGTCGGGGCGTCGCGGTTAATGGAGCAGGTCCGGGTTTGGCCTAGGGTTCTAGATGAATACGAGAGAGTCGAGCTCCGTTTTTGCTAAAGAAAACATACCTTGTGTTAAGATTTTTTAATATATTATTTAGTTTACTTTTTAATTACGGGTTTATTTTTCATTTTAATTGTAATATGGAGAAGAAGCTCTAAAGTGGTTGAGCATAAGTGAAATCCACAATGCACGAGAGATCTTAAGGGCAAATCGCAGGAAAGATCTTGAGATATTGGATGACCTAGGTTTTATTATTCCAAATGTTTACAACTTAGTTTAAGTGATTTATAAATAAAATTATACTGCTATATATACTAATCCACCTATTAATGGATGGTGGTGATTGATACAATTATACGGATGTTCTAGCTCCCTAAATCAATCCATGAAACTTGTAGGTACATATATTCTAGAAGGTAAATAAAATGGAGAAGCTTTTAACTCGTTACTAGGTATCTCTATTACTTCACAATAACTTTCTACATATTTCAAAAAATAATAATATCTACAAGCGGTCTACTTTAGATCTTTCTTTTGTGAGAATTTCCATAGTCATGTTGGAATCTCTTGAGGCAAAAT